AACCAGTGACCTTGCGCTGTGTGGGACGATGCCCAATCAACTGAGTCAAACAGGTCAGGGCTAATAATTGTTTGATAATTATGTAAGATTTAACTATTGGGAGAAATTGGGTGAAGGTTACATGGTATCTCTGCATTATGTTTGCAACTTCCTATGAATCTGTAATTATATCAAAATACAAGATTTTTTAAAAAGGATTATTACTAGTAGTGGCTGTTGTTTTGAGAATAGATTACATGAGTCGAAGGGCAGGAACAGGGATACTAGTTAGTAATACTAGGAGGCGATTAACAATAATGCAGGAGGAAAAATAATGGCTCTTGGACTAGATGTGTGGGGAGCACAACAGTGGGATGGGGATGGGGTAAGGAATAGTTGAAATCTGGATGTTTTGAGAGTTAATAAAATTTGCTGAAGTGATTGGATGTGTGATGTGTGAGAGAGAGAATGATTATACCAAGATTTTCTCCTGGACACCTAGAGAATGAAGAAAATAGGTAGTAACAAGAAACAGCAACAAGTAGAAGGTTGGTATGTGAGGTAGTTGGATTCTTGGCAAGGGAAACAAAATAACAAACCCTCTTACTGTAGTCTAGCATCTTGGGGCCTATAAGAGTTAGGGACAGTATGATATTGAAGTGAGTGCAACTCTTTTTGACTTGTTCCTGGGCAGCTTAGTTATCTTGGTCTTGTTCTGGCTCTTTTGGAAAGAAGCATTTGTTTGATAAACAGAAATTTCATCTCCAAAGGTGTAGAAAGAAGAAATGATAGAACAGAGTGGCAAAGCAAAGAACCACTGGCTGTGATTATCTTGAACTTGAGTTTAGCACATATGCCACCTTTCCCTAGTCTAGACTAGGTTGTTTCTTCATGGTGAAAAATGAAAAGTTTCTGCCCTGTTGCTTGACCTCCTGTCAGGGTATTTTCGTTTTATACTAGTGTTTTTGAATCAGTTAGGAGTTGTAGACTTCGCAGACAAATGGAGATGCTGTCTGTTTATAGTGGAAGACTGACTTAAAGAAATGTTGGCTCCCTACTTCTTTCCCATTAGTGGCATGTCTCTGACACTCCAGTGAAACTGGGCTAGGGAAGTTAAGACTGCCTGTGAGGTATATTTTCACTCTTTGAGAGGTTAGAATCTAAATGTATCACAAGCTGTTTCTTCCTGAGCCAGATTGGGACAAAGTTACAAACAGTGAATTCTGAAGCAGACTTTATACATGCTGGTGCTCTTATTAGTTTTGAAACTTAAGAATTCATTTTCTCCACTTCTAATAGTATTCCTCATGAGATACAGAAATACCTTAGTGTTACTAACTTTTTTTATTTTGTGAGGAAAAGCAGATCAAAAAGAATAAATAAATTTAGTGCCAAGTGGTTTATGATAATTGGAAAACGAGAAAGAGAACTTAGACTCCTTACTTTAGATAAGAGCTTGAAACAACGAAACCATTTTCTCCTTTTAACTGAGAGTTACCTCATCCTCATCTCAGGTGAAATGGCTGTACTGAAGTTGTGACAGAAAAACTTACAGTTTGCCTAAGACATACACTGGCAACTAAATAGGCAAGTATCTAATTGATAGTGAAAAAGAACTTAACCGTGAGGGAGTTTATGCAGCAGGGGGTAATTGAAGATTGTCTAGACTGGGGTAGGGAGGAATATGGGCACACAGGAAGCTAGGGTCCTCAGTACAGTGTGGGTTGTTTGGGACTGAAGATGTGGGTGGCACCTTGCCCAGCATTGAGGAGAGCTAGCTCATTGAATTGCCTATAAGAAGCAGAAAAATTCTTTAGAATACTTGCAGCTGGAGTTTATTCTGACAAAATTTCAGAATATATTTTCCTTTAAATATTGAGTGGTTCAGAAACCATTTTGTTTCATTTGCCTTTCTGAGACCCCCAGTATTTATTCAAATGCTGTGACTTGGTGTTAAGTCCAGTCTGGGCTACAGCGCTGGGTATTTTCACTGAAAGTAAAATACCACATTTGAGCTTGAAGAATTTTTGCTCACTGCCTGTAGCATACACATGAACATAAAACAGCCATTTGTCTACAGACAGCTGGAAGGCAATTTCAGGAGAGACTGAAAACCACTGCAGGCTGCTGGCCTCCGGGCACACCCACAAGACTGTAGATTTACACTGGAAGCAAACTAACAGGATAGGGGGTGAGGGAGGGAGTGGTTATAAGATGGGAAAAAATAAAAGCAGAGCCTAAAGTTTAAGATGGTCCTGTGTTTGGAAAGGAGCATAGTTCTCCCAAAGAGGAGAAAACTTAAATAATCAAATACAATGGCTAGGAGAAAACATTTGTTTGCAGCCAACACTTTTTAAAAAGTGATTTGTATTATTTTCTTTATTTTTATAACTAGGGATTCTGTAGGTACCTTTAGAAAAAATACTATATACTTGAAGCTCTTTACCCACTATGCTATCATAAATACCTTTTAACCAGAATCATGTCACAGTGACAAGTGATTTATATAATAATCACTTTTCAAGAGCTTCAGAATCCTGAAAAACCTTATGATCTATTAACCAAAATTCTTAAGTATTCTCTGTATAATATTGAGTAGACCTTGAAAAAAATAGCTTTTTAAGTCTTTCAAGTTATGTTATATGTGATAACTCTTAATCATAATACAAGTTTTTGTCCCAATACACTATTTTTTCTTTGTTATAGCACATAACAGATTTTTTCTTTTGGGCAGATCAAGTATAAATGATTTGTCCAAGGACAACCAGTGTGTCATTGTAGAGATAAAACAGAATTGGGCTACATTCCACCAGCTTCTGGCCTGTGTACAATTTTGAGAACTTTCCAATCATTTTAAGAAAACAAAGAACTTAGAAAATAAAAAGTTTTTTTAATAAATGAAAATCACTTATTTTGCAAATTACTAAATTAATCATTTTGTTGTATTTAGATGTTCTTTGATGTGTTGTGGTAATTAGTATTTACTGCCAGACAAATGTCTCTTGGACATTTTAATTAATGGTTGGCTCGGCCAAATGAGCTTCTGATGGTAAACCTTCATAAGGGTTTATTTTTATGTTTCTCAAGAATAGCTGTCTCTTCAAAGCTCTTTAATTAGACAAAGTTTAGCAGCTAAAACATATTATTAGAATAATTAGGCCTTGGGTTAAGAGAAATAGGGGAGTCAAAGGAGCAGGTACTGTTAGAAAATGGTCTTTTGAAATAAAGCATAGTGTTGTACATCTGATGGATGTCCAGTTATAGCTTATATTGTTACTGGCCCTAGTTAGGACTTTTTGTTGTTTAAATGTTCATATGACAGATCTCACCAGAAGTCTAAACACACCAGAGTGTGAGCTCATTTATCACCCCCTCTACACTCCCATAAAAAGCTGTATTCTATCCCTCTTAAATTCTAAGGTAAAGGCTTCATATATTCTTTTTTCATTACTAGATTGGTAATCTTGGCCATAATAATGATTGTTTTTGCGGGAAATGTTTCAAAGGTCTTGTGTGTGGGTTGTTGATAACCCTAACAATGATAACAATTCCTTTGAGAGGTTTTTCTTAATAATTTAAATTATCTACTTATAAGACATTGTAATTAAAATTACTATATTTTTGGTCTCAAAAACGTTATGTTCTTTGTGGTCAGAATTTAGTTTAAATGATTTGAAAATCCACTGTGAAGATGGATTTTTTTCCATTTAGTTCCTCTTCTTTATGTGCCCCCTTCTATTTCATTGTCCTGAGCTTTTAGTCTGAGCAGTTATCACTAGTACATAATGTTTTATCCCAGACTTCTCTTTGTGATGAAGAAAAAATGTACCTGACTGGTCCTATTGATGATTGAGATGGCACCAAAACAATTGGGTAGTAATACTAAAACAGCTATTGTTATACAATAATACATTTATTTCTAGTGTTCTAATTTTTTACTTTTCCACTCTCTCAGGATGCTTGTGATGGCAAATGTGTCCTTTTCCCAGCTAAAGCAGCTGGTTTAAGGATAATGCTAATGAAACTATTAGAAATTGCAAACAGAGAAAATGGCATCATTTCTAACCCCATCAGCTGTCGTGACCTTTATCTAACTTGTTGGTTATATGAAGAACTGGGTTAAGGATATGTATGTTGTTGCTTCAGTATAAACCTACCGCCACTGTTAGGAAAAAAAGTACATAAAGAACTTAATGGTATTGATTATGGGTGAAACATTTCATTTTTAAGTATAGAAGATAGCTTGATTCATAGTATTACAAAGTTTATAATGTGTAAATTCTTTTGCTGTATACCTTAGTTAGCAAAATAGCCAATGAAATTACATCATTTAAAGTAGTAGAGAATTCACCTGGTTTTCTATTGTTATCTATAAAAATTAATAATATAGTTATAAAAAGATATGGTAAGCACAGCAAACGCAGATGTAAAGATATAGGCATATTATTATGTATTACAGAGAATAGTCACCAAATAAATTTTTTAAACTTTTAATTTTAATTTTTTTAAATTAATTAATTTTTTGTTCAAAAACATTTGTCTCCACCTTCCCACTACCACTTTATGTCAAATTATAAAGCTTTGAGAAAGCAGAAGAGATATTAGCCTAAAGTTTATTGTGGCACTGCTTCTTGACTCACTCTTTAGCACAGGAAAATTTGCTGATACTTCAAGTGTAAACTTTTGCAATGGAAATATGAAAAGGAAGGTGTTAAGTGTTATAATCCTTGAAAAATACCACTGTGTCCCTCAGAACTTTTTTTTTTTTTTTTTTAATTGTGGAAGGGCAAGTGTATGCATATGTATGTGTAACAGGATTTCTACTTAACGTAATCTGGGTACTGATTGCTAATGAATTTTTATTGATTCAAACCAGGACTGTAATTGTGTTTTTCTATTTTTTATTTCATGTCTTTTAATTCATTCATTTGATGGGTCCCCTTGCATCCCTCCTTACATCTACCATTTGAAATTATACCAGCATCCAAAATGAGAACTGACTGTGTTCTTCTTTATCACAGACCACCTGGTGGCTCATGGTAGAATGGCAGAAAAGGAGGCCCGTAGGAAGTTCAAACAGATTGTTGCAGCTGTCTTTTTTTGTCACTGCCGGAACATTGTTCATCGTGATCTAAAAGCTGAAAATTTGCTTCTGGACGCCAATCTGAATATCAAAATAGCAGGTGAGAGGCATGTTGAGGATGTGAAATAAGAATGAAAGAGCTTTTCCTTCAAGGTTCTTACAGCAAGGGATTGCCTGTTTCTATCTATTTAGAATGAAATACGTGAAAATAAAGGTTTTGTATGTGTGTGGCTTGAAAAACTGATAAATCTTCAAAATACACTTATGTTATTGGCTGGGAGGAAAGAAGGAAAAGGATGATATTTAAAGTTCTCATTTTGGTTGACAGGTGTCTTTTAAATGATAAGGAATAAGATGTAGAAAAAGGAGTAAGAAAAACTGCCAAAATTGTATACCCTCTCAGCTTCACTTGAGATGGTTGATTTATTTCACTGTTAATGGAGAGCATGCTTATTCTAAAGACTTCAGTTTTATGATAATTTAGGAAGTAACTGCAGACAATATTGAAACTATAAATATGAAAATAAACCACTTTTGGGAGGGGAAGTGGGGATATCTGTAAAAGTGTCAAGAGTAAAAGTAAAGAAAAAACAAAATAAAAATAGGTGCCATTTAAAGAAGAGAAACCATTTTTGTTGTCTGATGGATTTTAGTATTGCATTGCATGTCTCCCTTCTCCCAGATAAAAATGGAGGTAGTCTCATATAGAGTACTGACATATAGCTAGACTATAATTGCCTTGAAAAGCCAAGGTGAAAAGCGATTTTGAATTCCCTCCTTAAGAGAGCAGGAAGTGAGAGTTCAGTTTATATTATATTACAGGTCAAAGTACCTACATGTACCCTTGCAGGCTGGTGATCCTTCTGTCAGTTATTTTTGTGTGGAAAAGTCTGTTCCCTCTCCTGGCTCTACTTTTACACTCTTGGAACATTATTTTTGCTTTTTATTTCTTTAAGTCAGGTTGGCGGATGCACTCACTCTTGTTTAAAACTTTTACAGAATTCTAAGCTCTTTGAGCCCTGCACTTGCTCAGTATATAGTAGGTAGGTATTGATTCTTTCTGATCTTACATAAAATCACGTGTTTTCTTTGCTTTTCTGTCGGTTTTGTATTCTCCACAACTCTGTAGATGCTGGCAGTTCCCACAGAAGAGGGGAGCATGGACAGGTTACCAATCTCCAACTTTGTTATTATTTAATTTCCTATTGTTGCTATAACAGATTACCACAAACTTAATGGCTTGAAACAATACAACTTTATTTTCTTACAGTTCTGGAGGTCAGAAATCTGAAATGAGTCTTATGAGGCTAAAATTAAGATACTAGTTAGAGAACTGGTTCATTCTGGAGGTTCTAGAGAATCCACCTTTTTGCTTTTTTAGCTCTTACCGGCTTCTGCATTCCTTACCTTTAGCTCTTCCTCACATCACTCCACCTCTTGCTTCCAATGTCACGTTTCCCACTCATAATACCCTCCTACTTTACTCTTAGGAGGTCTCTCATGATTACATTGGGCCCTCCTGAATAATCCAGGGCCTTCTCCCCATCTTAAGATCCTTAACCTAACATGTCTGCAGAAGTCTCTTTTACTACTTTGGGAACACATTCATTCACAAGTTCCATGGATTAGAACATGGATGTCTTGGTGAGGGCGGACAAGGGGTGCTATTAGCCTACTACAGATGTTAGTGTTGGGTTCTTCAGACTATTGATTAGGATAGTGAGTTAAAAGAAGGCCCTCTGTTTCTTCTACAGTTCTGTTCTGCCTCCAATGACCAAAGGTTAAGAATGTTTTAATGCTTTCTTGGTTCTTGATTTTGGATTTAGAGTCATCTTGATTTGGTTCAGGAAATTTGTATAGCTTTTAGGTTTTGCATTGAGAAAGCAAATGTAAAAGCACTGGCCAGCGGTAATCGAAATTAGAAATTCTACTGAAAAATATTTGGGTAAGGAGATTTTTCAGTGCTTTTCTCTGTTAATAGTTAAAACAAACCCTTGACGTCACAATAAGTTTATACCTACTGATGTGTAGTTACAGACTCCTGGGGTGTTGGCAGCCAGCCTTGGGCTCATTACTCTGTGTTAACACATATACTTTGGTAAGATTTTTAAATTCATTAATCCAAAGTCTGTATTTTTATTGTTTTTAGAGAAAAGGAAAAAATAAATGAACACCCCTAGTTTTGTGCCCTACTATAATACCTAACATTGTCTTTGCTTATGCGTTCTTTCCTACATACCACCATCATTCAGTCTTTAAATTGTTGTGTGAACTTCCTTTCCTACACTTGTATTAGACAGAATTCTTATTGTCGTCTGCCAAGTCTTCTTTGAACTTAATGGACCAGTAGAAGAAACATTTTTAATTGAAGCTGACTACAGCATAAATGATTTTGGAGAGAGCTAGGTTGGATGGTTCTGATAGGATATGGTTAGATAAGTAATGAAATCAACTTTTTATTCTAAAAGCCAAAAATAACTTTAAGATCCCTGATCTTGTCAGTGAGCTTACTGATGAATTATTATAAATCTCAGTGGGAAGGAACCTATGAAAGAAACACATAAGCGAGAAGAGGTTTTTTTGTTTTACTTATGTTAACAGTAGCAAATTTTAAATTAATAAAAATTCAGATTAGGAAATTTAAGGAATTCATGTTTTCCTTATGCCAGTGTTTACCTAAGTGGTTTGGATGAAAAGATTATGCATCCTGTTCAAATGCAGAAGATGAATAAGTTCTTCTGGGAATGCTTGTGTTTACATTAATTTATTTTTATTTTTCTATGAATAATGTGGCAATTTACATTCAATACTCGATATTATTAAAAACTATCCAAGAGAATAGGTGTTTTCTGGACATGAGAAGTAAACTTGAGTTACAGGTATTAAAAAATCCAAGATCACTCTATGATTTAAGAGTTTTTGTGCTTAAATTCTTATATATGAATCTTTGTTCCATTGTTATTTCTGGAGAGAATAAAACATAGATAAATAACTTTGTTTTCCTTCTGGTTTTAGGATAAAAAAATTCTTCTTAATGGCAGTAGCAAATCTGACCTCTGTACAATTATTTAAAAGATGTTTCCAGCATTAGCAATCCAGAATAAGCATTGATCATTTTCAGAATAAAAACTTTTATTTCTTAAAGGTAAAGTTTCTTTTCTCAGGTGTCATGGAAGAGAAAAAAGAAGTGTGAGGTATTACTGCTATCCTCAGAACTTTACAGTCTCTTTGGGCAGCAAATGCTTAGACCTTTGAAAAGTCAAATAACACTGAAATCATGTTTTACATGTATAAAGAACTTTGCTAAGTGTTTTCACATATATCATTTAATTTCATCATACTTAGCATGCAGATGTAGCTTATTCAGAAAACATTAGAGTTATCAAAATACACACCTTTAACTTTCTAAAACTTAGATTTTTTTTTTTTTTAAATAAAAGACATTCATGTAAATGTCTTTCATGTAGAATTCACTCTTGGATTCTTGGCCTCTAGCCTCTTACTTTTTATGCCTCAAATGTGTGAGGATCCACAGAGGAGCACATGAAGGACTGGGGAGGCACAACATGGCTCTCTCAGCATAATACAGTCTGCATTCCTGGGTGACAGCATGTTCAACAGCTACCAAATTATGGTTTGATAGGATAGCATAAATGCTACAAGGCACATCGTGATTCATTATCACATTAATTGTACAGTCTAATTACTACAGGAGTTTAGCGGATGCAGAAACTGCTTCAGTTTATAAAATTCCATTAGATTGTAAATGCCACAGGGTCTGTAACCATATCCTGCTGATTGTTTTACCACCACTATCCTAGTACCTATGTGTCCTATAGCAGGTACTCGGTAACTTCATTGATCTGAACCTTAGACATTGGTGATAAGGACTTACACATCCTGTTGAGGACATAACATTGTGGGTGAGTTTTAAAGGATAAGTAGGATTCTTTAAGCTGTAGGTATAGAGGAGAGAGTTCTAGTAGGAGGTCAGTCAGCAAATGTTAAGAAAGCATCTGCTTTGTGCAAATACTATTGGAGGCTCTGGGGATATGGCAGCCGATAAAATAGTCCCATAGAGCTAATACTCTGATGAGGGGAGATAGTAAAACACATAAGTAAGCTCTCAAAAGAAGATGATAAAATTGAGTAAAGTGATAGAATCACTTGTAGGAGAGACATTGTTTTTCACCAGGATAGTCAGAGCCTTTCAGACAGAAGGAAGAGCAATGTAAGGGCCTGACAGAGATGAATTTAGCATATTTCAGATGGTTGGAGAAAGGTTAACATGGCTGGAGATAATAAATAAGGGGGAGAAGTGGAAGGAGGTGGGGTGAGAGAACCGGCCAGAGTCGGTTTATGTGGGTCCTTATGCACATGGTGAGGATTTGGGTTTTATTTTGATTACAATGGGAAGCTGCATTGATGAAGCATGAGCAGCAGTAGAATGCATATGGCATATTTGCAGAAAAGGTAAAACAGCTTGGCTGGAAGAGAGGCTTAAGTGGGAGAGTCATGTCTGAGGAGGCGAGAGAGGTCTATATCAATACTAGATTGTAAAATTATTTGAATGCTAGGCTTAATAAATCAGATACAAGGTAGATAAGAAGAAATGATGGGAATGGGAGAAGGGACAGAAAGGCAATAGAAAGACCAGTTAAAAGGCTGTGAAATGGTAAAATCCCGCATAAGGGTATGGTAGTAGACCTGGAAAGGAAGAAAAAGTCAAGGGCGGTGGGTGTGGGGAGAGGTGGGGGCGAGATGTGGATATGGATGGGGCAGGGACGGGGGAGATAAAGAAGGACTTCTAAAGATATGTTTAGAAATAGAGAAGTCAGGTTTTCTTATTGATGGAATAGTAAGCCATCGAAGAAAACTAGTGGTGTCTTATTTTTAATTAATGCATTCTCTTTGAAAGTAACTTTAATTCTTGTCCCCAAAGATTAAATGGAGAAATTTCTATAATTTAAAGATTGCTCAAGAAAAAAACTTACACTAGTTGTCTTATTCCCTAAAGCAAAGTTATTTGAAATACTAAGATGTTATGAGAATGTATTGAAAATTATGGAAACTTTTCTCTTTCAACCTAAGGAAGTTGGA